CGCTGGCTGGTTAAGCGGGCACCTACCGGGCGAAGAACGTCAGTGGAGAGCTAATTGGCATGAGCAATTATGGGCTCATTTAGCATCATTACCGGCAGCGATAGGCACTGTGTCACCCAGCCCTGCAGCACCCAGGTGCTCCCAGGGGGCTGGGGAGGCAGGTGCTGGGCGTGGGGCGGGCTGGGGTCCTGGGGGATCTGTGTGTCCCCCCCCAGTAACACCGCTGCCTGCCCCCAGCCTACCTGCTGAGCTGCCCCTTCCCGGCGCGGCCGGCTTTCGGGGAGGTCTCAGTCAGCAGCCTGCACCCCGGCGGGGACGCCCGCTTCCGCTGCACCACCGGCTACCAGCTGCAGGGAGCCCGCCGGCTCACCTGCCGCAATGCCACCCGCCCCTTCTGGAGCGCCCGTGAGCCCCTCTGCCTTGGTAAGCAGGGGGGGGGGGGCCGGCCGCAGCCGGCAGGCCGCAGGCGGCCGCTGATGGTCCCTCTCCCACAGCGGCGTGCGGCGGGGTGGTCCGGAACGCCACCGTGGGACGCATCGTCTCGCCCGGCTTCCCCGGGAACTACAGCAACAACCTGACGTGCCACTGGCTGCTGGAAGCGCCCGCCAGCCACCGCCTGCACCTCCACTTCGAGAAGGTCTCGCTGGCAGAGGATGACGACAGGTTTGGCCCCGGGACGGGGGGGATTGGGGGGAGTGGGGGCACCCTGGGGCAGCCCCGCACCGGGCACAGGGCCATGTTCAAAGATGGGTGCCGTTCGCCATATCCAAGGATGGGGGCCATTGGCCATGCCCGTGGATGGGTGCCATTGGTCATATTCAAGGATGGGTGTCATTGGCCGTATCCAAGTACAGGTGCTGTTGGCCATGTTCAAAGATGGGTGTCGTTGGCCATGCCGAAGTGTGGGCACTGTTGGCCATTGGCCACAGTCGAGGATAGGTGCTGTTGGCCATGTTCAAGGAAGATACCATTGGCCATGCCCAAGGGTGGGTGCCATTCATCATGTTCAAGGATGGGTGCTGTTGGCCATGGCCGGCACAGCACCCTGCCCCTGCCGTGCCTTGGCAGGCTGATCATCCGCAACGGCAACAACGTGGAGGCGCCGCCGGTGTATGACTCCTACGAGGTGGAGTACCTGCCCATCGAGGGGCTGCTCAGCACCGGGCGCCACTTCTTCGTGGAGCTCACCACCGACAGCAGCGGGGCCGCTGCGGGCATGGCGCTGCGATACGAGGGTATGGGGCCAGGGCATAGGGGGGGTACCCAGGCATCCCCGTGCCTGCCTGGCTCCCACAGACCTTCGCCCCTGTGCCCACAGCCTTTGAGCAGGGGCATTGCTACGAGCCCTTCGTTAAGTACGGGAACTTCACGGCCAGCAACCCCCGGTACTCTGTGGGCACCACAGTGGAGTTCAGCTGCGACCCCGGCTACACGCTGGAGCAGGGCTCCACCATCATCGAGTGTGTCGACCCCAGCGACCCGCAGTGGAATGAGACGGAGCCGGCATGCCGTGGTGGGCACCAGGACCGGGGGGGGCTGGGAGCTGGGGGTTCAGCGGGCGCCGGAGTTGGGGGGTGCTGTGTGGGCTGGAGATGGGCCATGATGGATGCTGGAGCCACCGTGCTGCGGTGCGTGCTGGACCTGAGGGACATGCTGGGAGCCGGAGCCAATGGGGATGGTGGGTGCTGGAGCCGGGGGTTGCTGTGGGTGCTGGTGTCGGGGATGGGCTACAATGGATGCTGGAGCCACTGTGCCGTGGTGGGTGCTGGAGCTGGAGCCAAGGGGGATGGTGGGTGCTGGAGCTGGGGTGCTGAAGTGGGTGCTGGAGCCGGGGGGCTGTGGTGGGTGCTGGACACCGGGTGGTGGGTGCCGGTGGGTGCCGTGGCGGATGCCCCCGTGGTGGTGCCGAGCCTGGTGTGTGCCTGCAGCGGTGTGCAGCGGGGAGCTGACGGACGCGGCCGGCGTGGTGCTGTCACCCAACTGGCCAGAGGCGTACGGCAAGGGCCAGGACTGCATCTGGGGGCTGCACGTGGAGGAGGACAAGCGCGTCATGCTGGACGTCCGCGTGTGAGTGCGGGGATGGCTGCAGGATGGGGCTGGCAGGATGGGGTGGTCCCCGTGCCCCCCGCCCTCACGGCCCCACCGCCCCAGGCTGCGGCTGGGTGCGGGGGACGTACTGACCTTCTATGACGGGGACGACCTGACGGCGCGCATCCTGGGCCAGTATGCCAGTGCCCGTGGCCGCTTCAAGCTCTACGCCTCCACCGCCGATGTCACCGTCCAGTTCCAGTCCGACCCCGGCGCTGGCACCTTCGCCTATCGGCAAGGGTTCGTCATCCACTTCTCCGGTGAGCCCCACGGTGGGATGGCGTCCCCGGCATCCCCAGTGTCCCCGCCACCCTGCTCACCCCACTGTCCCCGCAGAGGTCCCCCGTAACGACACCTGCCCCGAGCTGCCGGACATCGCCAACGGCTGGAAGACGTCCTCGCAGCCAGAGCTGCTCCACGGCACCGTGGTCACCTACCATTGCTACCCCGGCTTCCAGCTGGCCGGCACCGACCTCCTGATGTGCCACTGGGACCTGACGTGGAGCGGCGACCTGCCCTCCTGCGAGCGGGGTGAGCTGCTCCCGCCGGTGTCCCCCTTGCCCTGCGGTGCGTCCCCGGCGGCCGCCGTCACCCCCGGTCCCTCCCGCCTGCAGTGACCTCCTGCCGGGACCCCGGGGACGCCGAGCACAGCCGCAGGGTGGTCTCCAGCCCCAAATTCCCGGTGGGAGCCACCGTGCAGTACATCTGTGACAAGGGCTATGTCCTGGCGGGGGCAGGGACCCTCACCTGCCACGACCGCGCTGCGGGGGGACCCAAGTGGAGCGACCGTCTCCCCAAGTGCATCCGTGAGTCAGGTACCCCCTCCCCGGGCACATCCCCTGAACCGGCGGCAGGCACTGATGCCACCGTGCCCCTGCCCCGCAGCGGAGACGTACGAGCCTTGCCACAACCCCGGCGTGCCGGCGGGCGGGCGGCAGAGGCCCGAGCGGCGGGTGGAGCCAGC